ATAGATAGATAGATAGATAGATTTTTTATTGATTTCAGAGAGGGAGAGAGAGAAAGAAACATCCATGATGAGAGAGAATCATGGATCGGCTGCCTCCCGAAAGCCCCCTACTGGGGATGGATCCCGCAACCCAGGCATGTGCCCTTGACCGGGAATCGAACCGTGTCCTCCTGGTTCCTAGGATGATGCTCAACCCCTGAGCCACGCCGGCCGGGCAGACTTCTTTAATAAACCCAGAGCCTGTATTCTATAAATAAAAGGTGTGGGCGACAGAAAGGAAAATGATTCCACTCGTTCCCACCTCACAAGGGCAGTCGGCCGATGGCTCACACCCACGGCCATGGGCCCCGAGTCTTGCTGAGCGAGGTCGGGGCGCAGGCACAGCAGGGGGGAGCCTGCCCATCGGGTATGTCCTCCAGAAGGCGGGAGGGAGGAAGGCTCCCCTCCCTTCCTACGGGAATGGAACAGGGAAAGCCACGCGGGAAGATGGATTAGAGTTTCAAATGCCAGCTCGCGGGGTGGGACAGCATTAGTGGGACACAGATGACCTAGGACATGGTCGCTGGGAGCGTCACGACAATAAAGCGAGGTCTATATTTACAAAAATCTATACGACATTTTCCTCTAATGTCATGTTCCCTGCGGACGCTCTTAACCGAGTGGGGTTATACTTTGTGTTATAAACGTATAAACGATCGGTGTAGACATTAATACATGGTTTGGGGGCATATGTCAGGTTTTGTCTAAATGTCAGTGTCTGGCCCGGCCGGCGTGGCTCAGTGGTTGAGCGTCGACCTAGGAACCAGGAGGTCAGGGTTCGATTCCCGGTCAAGGGCACATGCCCGGGTTGCGGGCTCCATCCCCAGTGGGGGGCGTGCAGGAGGCAGCCGGTCCATGAGTCTCTCTCATCATTGGTGTTCCCGTCTCTCTCTCCCTCTCCCTTCCTCTCTGAAATCAATAAAAATATATTTAAAAAATTGAAAAAACATATCCTTGGATGAGGATTTAAAAAATAAGTTTTCTTTATTAATATTCCTAAATTAATGTCACTCATTCAATTATAGTTGGTACTAGAGCCCCCGTGCACGGATTCATTCACCTGTGGGGTCCCTCGGCCTGGCCTGCGGGGATTGGGCCGAAACCGGCTCTCTGACATCCCCCGAGGGGTCCCGGATTGCGAGAGGGCGCTGGCCAGGCCGAGGGACCCCACCAGTGCCGGACTCAGCAGCAAGCTAACCTACTGGTTGGAGCGTCTGCCCCCTGGTGGTCAGTGCACGTCATAGCGACTGGTCAACCGGTTGACTGTCTGCCCTCTGGTGGTCAGTGCATGTCATAGTGAGCGGTTGTGTGGCCTTAGCATATCATTAGCATATTACGCTTTGATTGGTTGAACACCGACTGGTCGACCTGACAGTTAGCATATTAGGCTGTTATTTTATTATATCGGATGCTGTTATTGATTTCAGAGAGGAAGAGAGACAGGGTGGGGGATAGAAACATCCATGATGATGAGAGAGAATCATGGACCGGCCGCCTCCTGCACGCCCCCTACTGGGGATCGAGCCCACAACCCGGGCATGTGCCCTGACCGGGCATCGAACCCTGACCTCCTGGTTCCTAGGTCAGATCCCAACCACTGAGCCACACTGGCCGGGCGGACTGTTTTTTTCTTAATGAGTTTAAAGCAGGACGTGTATGGGAATTTCATTTACGCTCCGTCGCTTGAATTGAACAAAAGCTGCATTTTTTTTTCTCCCTAAACAAAAATGTGGTTTGCAGTGTGGGTTTCGCCCTGTTCAAAATGAGCCTTTTCTGCCATCAACCCCATAGACCAGTGGTTCTCAACCTTCTGGCCCTTTCAATACAGTTCCTCATGTGGTGGTGACCCCCAACCATAACATTATTTTCGTTGCTACTTCATCACTGCAATGTTGCTACCGTTATGAATCGTCATGGAAATATCTGATAGGCAGGATGGTCTCAGGCGACCCCTGTGAAAGGGTCGTTCGACCGCCAAAGGGGTCGCGACCCACAGGTTGAGAACCGCTGCCATAGACCCGCAGCATCATCCCGGCCGGCCGCTGTGAAATCTCCGTTCCGGCAGCGCGGTGGGAATTTTCCTGTAATGAACACGTTCTCATGTAATTACGTCTCCGGTGATGAAAATGCCCTTTTGTCTCGCGCTCCCTCCTTCATTGCACGTCTATTTCGGGAGCGGCGGCTCTCTCGGAATAGCGGCTCGTCTTGCCTTTGGGCCTGATGGGCCTGGTTCCGAAAAATAATTTATTTTTTTTAAGGGGGAAGGGGAGGGGGAGGGATATTGTTTATCCGAGGTTAACGCGCCGTGGGTAGGACAGCTGGGAGCGCGTTTTTTGGGGTGGGCAGGTGCTCGTCAAGGGCGTCCTGAAATTCACGCAAGATTTGAATTCTGCGTGAGCATTAACAACAACAAATAAAAGCCTAATTTGACTTGGTTTATGGAATCAGATTCTAATATCTGTTGCCCTTTGATGTCAGTCCCTTCAATTCGATAAGCATCACCAAGTACCAATGACGGCCCAGGAGCAGGGACAGTGAAGACCAATGAAGACCGTGGCTTTGCGTCTGTGCCAGCAAAGCCGTGGAGGGCGTTGACCCGATGTGCTGTTCCATACATAACCCTAGACTGTGTACTTTATGGATCAATAAAAAATTTACAATTTTTAATTATAAACCTGTGTTTTCCATCAAAATTACCTCTTGCGTGAATTTTGGGACAACCTTTATAAACAAACACTGTTTCCGCCGTTTGAAACACATCTCTGAACACCTTGCGGGAAGCCACGCCTGGGGGAGCAGGTGAGGTCTGGCCGCCTGAGATGGTGATTTAATTCACATGCAGTGGGATTCCGGGCCGAGTGGAAAAAATCGTTCATCTTCGAGAGCTGTTCTTAATTGGGCTCGAGGGTACCCCCGACCCCAGGCCTCCACACGCCAACGCCAGGCCCGTGTGGGGGACAATGAATGGTCGGCCGTTGCCGCGGCGACTGGGAAACTAATAGAGCCATCCATCATGATTCACGGGCCTTCGCCCTCCTGGGCGTCATTTCGGCGTCAATATTCTGCCGCTGGGCCCAGCCTCTCACCAGGAAGCACGGGCGCTTGGGATGCGTTTCCCAGGGTCCCCCACAGGCACGAGGGGACCCCACTTATGGTGAGGATGTGGCGTGGAGCGGACCCGACACCTTAAGCGGCAGACGTTATTTTTATTGATTTCAGAGAGGAAGGGAGAGGGAGGGAGAGAGAGACATCAGTGATGAGAGAGAATCATGGATCGGCCGCCTCCAGCACGCCCCCTACTGGGGATCGAGCCCGAAACCCGGGCAGGTGCCCTTGACCGGGAATCGAACCCTGACCTCCTGGTTCCTAGGTCGACGCTCAACCACTGAGCCACACCAGCTGGACAGGGTGAGGAATTTGTGTTTTTTTAAAAAATATATGTTCTGCCCTAACTGGTTTGGCTCAGAGGATAGAGCGTCGGCCTGCGGACTCAAGGGTCCCGGGTTCGATTCCGGTCAAGGGCATGTACCTTGGTTGCGGGCACATCCCCAGTGGGGGGCGTGCAGGAGGCAGCTGATCGATGTTTCTCGCTCATCGATGTTTCTGGCTCTCTATCCCTCTCCCTTCCTCTCTGTCAAAAATCAATAAAATATATTAAAAAAAATATATATATATGTTCTTATTGATTTTCCGAGAGAGAAAGGGAGAGAGAGAGGGAAACATCTATGATGAGAGAGGAACATCATGGACTGCTGCCTCCTGCACGCCCCCTAATGGGGATCGAGCCCGGAACCCGGGCGTGTGCCCTTGACCGGGGATCGAACCCGGGACCCTTCAGTCCGCAGGCTGATGCTCTATCCACTGAGCCCAACCAGCCAGGGCTTAAATATGTCTTTATTGATTTCAGAGAGGAAGAGAGAGAGAGAGAGAGAGAGAGAAACATCCAGGATGAGAGAGAATCATGGATCGGCTGCCTCCTGCACACCCCCCACTGGGGATCAAGCTCGCATCCCGGGCCTGTGCCCTGACCGGGAACCGAGCCGTGACCTCCACCACTGAGCGACACCAGCCAGACGAACACGGGATCTCCATGAGACAGTTGTCCTCCCGGGGTCCCCGTGGAGAACGTTTAGCTAATGGCTGGGCCCACCTTCCATAGCGAGACGGCGGGCGGCGGCCCTGTCTCCGTTTCTCTCATCAGAACCCGCGTTCTGGCCCAGGGTGTACCCTCAACGACACCGCTGTCCGAGGAGGAGGAGAGGTTTTGCTCGGAAACAGACGCACGGGGGGGAGAGGATGCAGGCCTTCGCCGTCGCGGGGGACGGTGTCCTCTCTGAAACCTGGGTGGGCGGGGAGGACAGTCCCGGGAGCGGCCGGCGAAGGGCCCCGCCCCGGCCACATGCCTCACGGCTCCTCTCCTTCGCGTTGCAGGACGATGAGGCGCCTGCTGCTCCTGCTGCTGGTCCTGCGGGAGGCCCAGAGCCGTGTGCCCTCCAAGCCCAACTTTGTCCTGATCGTGGCGGACGACCTGGGCATCGGCGACACCGGCTGCTACGGAAACAAGACCCTCAGGTAGGGCGCGTGTCTAGGCTGTCGTCGCGGTGATGGTGGACACACGTTAGGGGAGCACAGGCCGTGTAGAAACGTTTAAAGCCCACCCACAGCACGCAGTGTGACTACATGGATCCCGTGTGACTGCGCGTGGATCCCCCGTGTGGCTGCGCGTGGATCCCCCATGTGACTGCAGGTGGATCCCCGTGTGACTGCACGTGGATCCCGTGTGGCTGCGCGTGGATCCCGTGTGGCTGCGCGTGGATCCCGTGCGACTGCGCGTGAATCCCATGTGGCTGTGCGTGGATCCCGTGTGGCTGCGCGTGGATCCCGTGTGGCTGTGCGTGGATCCCGTGTGGCTGTGCGTGAATCCATGCAGATACAGGCGTTAGGAAGCAGGCATGGCGGTGTCATGCGTGGGACACACAGAGGCTGGGAGGACTGGTTAGGGGCGTCCTCTCCGCTCTGGTTGGAAGAGCAGCGTGAAGCGTCTCCAGAGTTTTCTTGTTTGGGGGCACGGAGGTAACGGGGGGCCGTGGCTGGGGGGTTAGAGCAAGGCCTTGAGCATCTCCCTGCCCCTCCTCACAGTGGCTCATTTTCTTTCTTTTTTAAAAAATAAATTTTGTATTCATTTCAGAGAGGAAGGGAGAGGGAGAGAGAGAGACACACCAATGACAAGAGAGAATCGTGGCTCGGCTGCCTCCTGCGCGCCCCACACTGGGGATCGAGCTCGAAACCGGAATCAAGCCGTGACCTCTTGGTTCATAGGTCAACCCTCGCTCAACCACCGAGCCACGTCGGCCGGGCCAGTAGCTCATTTTCCAGACTCGCTCCTGTGTTGTAAACCAGGGCTGCCACCCTGGCTGGTGTGGCTCAGTGGATAGAGCGTCGGGCTGCGGACCAAAGGGTCCCGGGTTCGATTCCGGTCAAGGGCATGTGCCCGGGTTGCGGGCTCCTCCCCGGCACGGGGCCTGGTCAGGGGGCACGTGCAGGAAGTAACCCATCAATGCGTCTCTCTCACGTGGATATTCTCTCTCTGTCTTTCCCTCTCCCTTCCACTCTCTCTGAAAATCGATGGGGAAATATCCTTGGGTGGGGATGAAAATAAACAAATAAATGAGTAAATAAACCAGGACCCTCCGTGCCTCTGTCTACTCTAAAGGGTTGTCAAGTCAGACGCATTTATGTCAGGGTGATTGCGGAGTCCCCGTGAAATCCAACACGAACCCACACATCAGCTTCTTGGGCCCGTGTGGCCCCTGAACAAGCCAGACCTGGATCCGTTGGGCCCACACCTGGTTCTGTTCTTTTCTTTGATTCCAGAGAGGAAGGGAGACGGGGAGAGAGAGAGAGAAACATCCACGATGAGAGAGAATCACGGACCGGCTGCCTCCTGCACGCCCCCTGCTGGGGATGGAGCCTGCAACCCGGGCATGTGTCCTTGACCGGGAATCGAACCCGGGACCCTTCCGGCTGTAGGTCGATGCTCGACCGCTGAGCCACGCCGGGTGGGCGGGAGGTGACGCCTCATGACTAGCCGCGGAGAGAGCAGCGTTTCCAAAGGCATCGCGAATAGTAACGTGGCTCTTGTGTCCCAGGACTCCCAACATCGACAGGTTGGCCGACGAGGGAGTGAAACTCACCCAGCACCTAGCGGCCTCGCCCCTGTGCACCCCGAGCCGGGCAGCCTTCATGACCGGCCGGTACCCCGTCCGATCAGGTAACCCCCTGGCTGGGTCCCTGGGCCGTCCTCTCCTCTCCTCTCCTCTCCGCTCCTCTCCTCGGGGCACCCTCCCAGCCTCTGTCGTCCGGGTCGCCCCCCCTCCCCATCCTAACGGCTGGTTTCTCCTGCCCCAGGAATGGCGTCTCAGACGCGAATCGGCGTTTTCCTCTTCTCGGCCTCCTCGGGGGGACTTCCCAACACTGAGGTGACGTTCGCCAAACTTCTGAAGGACCAAGGCTACGCCACCGCTCTGATAGGTGTGGGCCGCGGCGGACGGGAGGCCAGGAGCTGGGAGGTTGAGTGGAAGAGTCGGGGGTGGGGGTGGGGTAGGAGAGCAGCCTTCTTTGGGTTGACATTGCTGATACAGTGGGCACAGCTCAAGTAGGGGAGACATGATTTCGGTTCTAATATGTGAATGTGTAGATGTGTGTGGTTATGTGGACGCATGGATGGATAGATGGATAGATAGGAGATAGATGAACGAATAGGTGGGTGGATGGATGGATGGATGGATGGATGGATGGATGGAGATGGATAGATAGATAGATAGATAGATAGATAGATAATGATAGGCACTCAGAAAGATGGATGGACAGATGGATGTATGGGTAGATGGGAAGATAGATGAGATAGAGACAAGGATATATAAATCAGTAGATGAAATGGATGACGGATGGATGGATGGACGGACGGATAGATATAGATAGATAGATAACGATAGGCACTCAGAAAGATGGATGGACAGATGGATGGGTGGGTAGATGGGAAGATAGATGAAACAGAGACAAGGATATATAAATCAGTAGATGAAATGGATGACGGATGGACGGATGGATGGATGGACAGACAGGTAAATGGAAAGATAGATGAAATAAGTAATAGAGACAGAAAAGAATAGGTCGGCCAGTAGATGGAATGGATGATGGATGGATGCATTCATGGATGGGTGGACAGATAGAAACATACATGAGATACGTCAGAGACAGACAAGAATAGATAAAACAGGAGATGGAATGGATGATGAATGGATGGATGGACAGATTGATGAGATAGGTGATGGAGACAAGGATATATAGATCAAAAGATGAAATGGATGATGAATACATGGGATGGACGGACGGACAGATGTGTAGAAGGAAACATACATGAGGCAAGTAATAGAGACGGACAAGAGTAGGTAGACTAGTGGGTGGATGGATGGATGGGTGGATGGACAGATGAGCAGATGTGTAGACGGAAAGATACATGAGATAAGTAAGAGACAGACAAGAATAGATAAAACAGGAGATGGAATGGATGATGAATGAATGGATGGGTGGATGGATGGATGGATGGACGGATGGACGGACAGATGTGTAGATGGAAACATACATGAGGTAATAGAGACGGACAAGAGTAGGTAGACCAGTAGGTGGAGTGTATGATGGATGGATGGATGGGTGGGTGGATGGATGGATGGACAGATGGACAGCTGTGTAGATGGAAAAATACATGAGATAAAAATAGACAAAAATAGGTAGATCAATAGATGAAATGGATACATGGATGGATGGATGGATGGAAGGAAAGATACATGAGATAAGTAATAGAAACAGACAAGAATAAATAGATCAATAGATGAAATGGATGTATAGATGGATGGATGGATGTATAGACAGATAGAGGTGGAGTGTATGGATGGATGGATGGGTGGGTGGATGGATGGATGGACAGATGGACAGATGTGTAGATGGAAAAATACATGAGATAAATAATAGACAAAAATAGGTAGATCAATAGATGAAATGGATACATGGATGGATGGATGGATGGAAGGAAAGATACATGAGATAAGTAATAGAAACAGACAAGAATAAATAGATCAATAGATGAAATGGATGTATAGATGGATGGATGGATGTATAGACAGATAGATGGCAAGATAGATGACAAGAATAGATAGATCAATTGATGAAATGGATGGGTGAATGGATGCATAGATGGATGCATGGATGGATGGATGGATGGATGGATGGACGGACAGACAGATGGACGGACCGATGGAAAGACACATGGGATCAGTGATAGAGACAGACAAGAGTTGAACAGTAGATGGAATGGATGATGGCTGGATGGATGAATGAGATCGAAAGATGGAACAGATGGTCGATAACAGATAGTTACACACGGAGCATACACAGCCACACACACACACCATGCCATTGCTAGGCATTTTCATTTTCACTTTTTAATACTAAAACTGCACCCTTATTGGCCCCGGTCGATACTCCCATATCGATTTCATCCCATGGAGACGAACGGTGCCTTCTCCCCTTTCACGTGACACGCTTGTGTCCACAGGATGGTCGTCAGATGAATCCTAGAAAATCTCATTGTGAAAAATGAGCGTTCTCATTCCTGACACGCGTTGTCGTAAAACCATCATCTTTGTGTGTGTGTGTGTGTGTGTGTGTGTGTGTGAGGCCCTCATTAATTTAGTGGCATAATTAACATTTTATAAGAAATGTTCATAGGTACTTAAAATAATAGCTGAGTTATGAGTATGATTTCATATTGCCTCTGGGGCGGTTTTTTTTTTTTTTTTAGAAAGGATTCATTTCCACTGTTAACATTGAGGGAACAAAATCAACTCAGTTCCAAGACTTTCATTTCAAGGAAGCCTGTTTAAAAACAAAACACAAAACATCCATCTCAAAAAAATACCTGTTTTTTCCTATTTAGTTACATCTCAAGCACATGAAATATGTTAGTTTTTTTGTGTTTTTTTTAAAAAATATATTTTTATTCAGGGAACAAATCAAGACTTTAATTTCAAGGAAGCCTGTTTAAAAAAAACACAAAACATCCATCTCAAAAAAATACCTGTTTTTTCCTATTTAGTTACATCTCAAGCACATGAAATATGTTAGTTTTTTTGTGTGTTTTTTTTTAAAATATATTTTTATTGATTTCAGAGCAGAAGGGAGAGGGAGAGAGAGAGAGAGAGAAACATCAATGATAAAAAAAAAATGAGAGAGAATCACGGACCGGCTGCCTCCTGCACGCCCCCTACTGGGGATCGAGCCTGCAACCCGGGCATGTGCCCTTGACCGGGAATTGAACCCGGGACCCTTCAGTCCACAGGCCGACGCTCTATCCACCAGCTTGGGCTAAATATGTTAGGTTTTTGCCTTTTGTTTTGTTTTAGTTCTTCCCCCGCCTTTACCCCAGTCAGTAAATTACTTATTGTTTTCTGGTAGAGCGAGTTAATAACCTAGTATTTGTGGAAAAGGAAGCAAAAAAAAAAAGCCCTGTAGGGTCCCAGGAAATAGGACATTGGCTAATAAACAGGCAGAAAGCGCCCGGCCGGCGTGGCTCCGTGGTTGAGCGCCGACCTGTGAACCAGGAGGTCAGGGTTCGAATCCCGCTCAAGGGCATGTGCCCGGGTTGCAGGCTCCATCCCCAGTAGGGGGCGTGCAGGAGGCAGCCGGTCCATGATTCTCATTGTTGATGTGTATGAGAAATTGGCAACTGTAACATAACCCAAATGTTCCTGTTTCCATGTCTACAGCAATTAAATCCCCAAAATATATCTCAGCATTTAACAAAAACTTAGGCTCCTCGAAAAAATAAATGTTCCCTGTTAGAACCAGTTCAACAATCCAATATTCCCCATCCCGGAAAAAGCAACAAGACTAATTCCGCGATGCAGGCACCTGTGAGTGAGACTTCAAAACACCCCCAACCAGGCGGCGACATCCGAGTGTCCAGGCCGGGGCTGCAGGCGGACTGACGCTGAGCTCCCTTCTCGGAAATCTGCGTGCTGCCAGCGTGGCAAACGAATCTGACAAACGGTGAAGGGTGACTGAGTTGCAGGCTCTTGCGATGTCAAGAGGCCCTCACCAGAGGCTTGAGAACAGGGCATCGTGGCTGCAGGGAAAGCATGGAGCGGGGCCTGGGCTGAGGGCAGCCGGGACCCAGCTGGGGGTCATGGGGGTCCCCACACTGCCACTGCCCTGCCAGGCGAGTCCCTGTTTAACTGCTCTGGTCTGCTGCCTCCTCTAGCAGGGGGATAATGTGTTTCTTCACAGAGTTGTCTGAGGATTCGAGGATACACTGTGACAAAGCACCTGCTTCAGGGCAGGTCTGCAATGAGAGCTAGGAGCATCTTCTCCTTCTCTTCCCAGACTCCACCCCTTTCCATTCAGTCTAGCAAATGCCAAAGTCTGCCAAAGACCCCAAAATAAGGCCCTATTCTCAAGGAGTGTTCAGCCTATTGGTCTGTTTACCTCCCCAAATATTACAGCTGGAGGAGACGGGGTCTTCCTTCAAGCCTGTGAGGAGTCCATGAAGTCTTTGTGCTGTGGGCCTTCCTGACTTTCCTCTGAAAGGCATACATATTATGTGACTAGAGTGAATATGAAAGTTCAGCAGTGTCCCCACCACTGTAACTCACCCATCATCCTTTGGACCTGGCTTCTGTAAATACTGACTCTGACTACTGTAGCTTGTAGATAAATAGCACGTTTGTATAGTATAAGAATCCTAGGAACTAACCTCAGAAGATGCAGACTCCAGCCTGGTCGGTGTGGCTCAGTGGTTGAGCGTCGACCTATGAACCAGGAGGTCACTGATTCCTGGTCAGGGCACCTGCCTGGGTTGCAGACACAATCCCCTATGGGGGACATGCAGGAGGCAGCTGATCAGTGAATCTCTCTCATTATTGACTAGAGGCCCAGTGCACGAATTCATGCACCAGTGGGGCCCCTCGGCCTGGCCTGCAGGATTGGGCTGAAAATGGCTCTCCAACATTCCCCAAGGCGTCCTGGATTGTGGGAGGGTGCAGGCCAGACCGAGGGACCCCACCAGTGCATGATCAAGGCCGGGAAGGGACGTGGGAGGTTGGCCAGAAGGGAGGGACCACAGGAGGGCTCTAGGGCATGTCTGGCCTGTCTCACTCAGTCTCAATTGGCTGGATTCCAGCAGCAAGCTAACCTACCAGTCGGAGCATCTGCCCCCCCTGGTGCAGTGCACGTCATAGCAAGCGGTTGAGCTCCTTAGCATATCATTAGCATATCACGCTTTGATTGGTTAACGGACGACCAGACACTTAGCACGTTAGGCTTTTACTGTATAGGACTCTAGCTGTGACACTAAATGAATGCCCTGACCCCAGCGGAGGTCCCGGTGTCTGCACGTTGACAAACCTCTTACCTTGTCAGATCCCCTGACTGTATTTTATAAGCAAGACACGGCTGTGACGAGGCAGAATGGGGCCCCGAGGATGGCAGACCTGTGGGTGGAAGCCGGCCCGGCCGTCAGCTGTTGGGCACATGGGTTTGTGACACATGGGCACATCGGTCTGCGTCCGCCAGCCGCCCGCCAGAGTGAGAGGCAGGTTAAGAATAAACGCCCGTGATGACTGACGGGCCTTAGAAACGAGACTGGGTTTCCAGGGCGATCCATGTTTTTGGCACAAATATATTTAAAAAAATGAACCAATAGAAAACAGGCAGACAGATCCCCCTCTTCCGTGTGTGGGAAGCAGAGCCTGGTGTCTGCGGGGCCTAATCACCCCCCCTCCCCCCCCCTTTCGTGTCCTCAGAACCGTGGCACCTGGGCACCCACTGCCACAACAACTCCGACTTCTGCCACCACCCGTCCAGCCACGGCTTCGACTACTTCCACGGGCTGCCCGTGACCAACCTGCGGGACTGCAAGCCGGGCGCGGGCAGCGTCTTAACGAGACTGGGTTTCCAGGGCGATCCATGTTTTTGGGGGTTTTTTGTGTGTGTTTTTTAAAAAAATATGTTATTGATTTTTAAAGAGAGTGGGAGAGAGAGAAATATCAACGAGGAGAGAGAATCATGGATCGGCTGCCTCCTGCTCGCCCCCTACTGGGGATGGAGGCTATAACCGGGGCATGACCGGAATTGAACCGGTGACCTCCTGGTTCCTGGATCCACGCTCAACCACCGAGCCAAATCCGGCTGGGCATGTGTTTTGTGTTTGTTTGTTTTTTTTAAAAATATATACAGTGGGGCCTTGACTTACGAGTGTCCCGACTAACGAGTTTTTTTGAGATACCAGCTGTCTCTCGGCCGATTTTTTTGCATTGAGTTGATAGACTAATTTGAGTTAACGAGCTCCTTAACGAGCTCAGTCTCGGAACGAATTAAACTCATAAGTCAAGACCCCACTGTATATGTGTCTATTGATTTTAGAGAGAGGGAGAGAGAGAAACAACAATGATGAGAGGGAATCATGGACCGGCCGCCTCCTGCTTGGCCCCTACTGGGGATCGAGGGTATAACCTAGGCGTGTGCCCTGACGGGGAATCGAACCCGTGACCTCCGGGTTCATAGGTCGATGCTCAACCCCTGAGGCATGCCGGTCAGACTATGCCATATGCAATCACCATTCACCAGGGATCGCTCAGAAAGAATCAGCCGACGCTTCTATCGTGTTGCAATTATTTTCCTCCTATTGCGTTGCAATTATTTTCCGCGCTGACTCAAGTAGGGGACGTCAACCCCTGAGCCACGCCGGTCGGACTATTCCATATGCAATCACCAGTCACCAGGGATCGCTCAGAAAGAATCAGCCAACGCTCCTATTTCGTTGCAATTATTTTCCGCGCTGACTCAAGTAGGGGACACTGATTGGATAATGAAGGTCACACCCTCAGACCTGGAATAGGACGTTCAAGACCTTTGTGGCAGCCGTCTCCGGGCCTCGATGTTGGCGCCCACGTTTCTAGGATGTAAATCTTTTCTTTTTTTAAATATATTTTATTGATTTTTTTGCAGAGGAAGGGAGAGGGATAGAGAGTTAGAAACATCGATGAG